GGCTTAACTTCTACCATACGCTTTTCGCCAAAACATGAGCTTAATGTTATTCTCTCTTCGGAAGGTTTGTTCACTCTAATTAGTGAGGAATTTAGAACTGGGATCTGGCAACCTGAATCAATTAAGGCTGTTACGGGCTGATTTTCTACAAAAATGTTTACATATTGGAGCTGTTGTGCGAACTCGTCGCTTTTTTGTTTTTCGCTCTTGATTTTCAAACTATTCGCGTTTTTTCTATTATGGATGTGAGATTCTTTAGGCTTAAAACGCTTCTCACAATCTCTTGCGTAATGAGATGAATCACCGCATATATATAGCAATTTTTATTTTCTCTTTCAAGATTTTGGGGATAGTTATCTCTAATCTTTGGTTTAAAGTTTCGTGGTCTATTTTTAAAGGGGTCTTCGGTATATCCACAAGCAATAAGAGTTTCCTTACGTGATCCGCTTCTAGATGAAATATAAATATCGCACTCTTTAGCTAAATCAATAGGCCTGAACCAATCTTCTGCTTCTCGAATGCTAATATGAGTTGCGGTTTCCTTATTTAAAGTTTCAAATACTTTATCAGAAATTAAAAGATCACATAGAGATTCAAAGGAATTAACTTTTCTTAACGAACAATAATATTGGAAGTTTGCCGTCAATCTTGCAGCAAATTGGATGTATGTCTCGCCTGATGATTTTATAGCATTTTTAAATGAGTTTAAACACTCGCAAGGGGTTACTTGGAATTCTCTGAGTACTATAGATTTTAGTTTTTCATAGTCATTTAATTCCTCCTTTTTAATATACAATAAGACATTATGAGCTCTTTCGCCCAGAAGATTTATTAAAATTTCAGATTTATATTCGTCGTTTATTTTCTTGGTTAAAAATGTGCGTTCTAATGATTGGAAGAACAGATTAAAATTTTCAGATCTGGTGGGAACAGGAAGAGATAAAGTTTTAATGCTTTTGATCATATTTTCTATGTTTGTTTCGAACTGTTTCTCTTCGACTTTAGCTGCAGGATTTAAACTTAATGCTTTATTTTTAGCCGTTTGAAGTTCGACTTCTTTTTCTAACTATGCTAACTGTAGTTCTGCTAACTCAATTTTCTGTTTTTATAAAGTTGCCTCTCTTTCGTTTCGCGATACCCTCTCATCTATACAGTTTTTAATTAAAGTTTTAACGAAATCTGCATCACTCTCAAATGTACTACTCTTCTCAATTTTAGTCTTTAGTTTAGCTATGGTGTCCGTACTCTCCACAGTACCGTCTAGATCCTCAACAACTCTTATGAGATCCTCTTTAAGAGCGTTTTTATACATTTTAGAAAAAATATGGAAAGATCCTACCTTTTTTTTCTAGCTCCCTTGTTGCTCGCACGTACGATGTATCCAATATTACACCTCTTCGTAGGTGATAAATCAATAGTTCCGGCCTCTACACAGGCGGAATATTCACGCTGGGTTCGAATGAAAAATTCAACCTCTACACAGGTTGAGCGAAGTTTCCGAAAAAAATGGCGGTGCGTCTCCTCCACGGACGCTTGTTTTGTTCACGCGTTCCAAACTTTGATCAAAATCCCGGTCGAGCCCCCATAATTTGTGGGAGACAAGAAGGGGTCCAATACATTTGTCTTTCTTCAGATTTATTTAAACTTAACAAAAATTAATTAAAAAGAAAGGTAGCTATTCTACAATTAGATTTCCATGATGTGACGACGGGGAACGCCTGCTCGCGCACCTCAGTCTCTTTCTCCGCTTTTTTTCTCAATGGTCAAAGTTTTTGTTTCACATTGGATCAGCTGCGCCTGCGCGCGAAGACTGCGTGCTTTGCTTCGTTGAGAGATTCAATTGGATGACGACTCCACAACCGATTCCATATATATATATATATATATATATATATATATATATATATATATATATATATATATATATATACAGTCAGGTCTCGTTTTATGCGGTACATACGTTCTACCGAAAAGCGCATATAAAAAATCGCATTAAAAAAGACATTACTTGAATAGAAAAAGTAGGGATACGTTCCTTAGTTTTCTAAAATCGCATAAAACCAAAACAACTAGTTAAAATTAACTTAAAACTGCATAAAAAATTGCAGAAATGAAAAGAAATAGGCTGCATGATAAATTACTTAGAATGTCTGAAAGAAATTCATACAAAAGCTAAAAAAAAAAAAAAAAAAAAACTTGTATTCAAACCTTAATTCATTTTATTTTATGGAAAAGTAATACACATAGTTTTACATTTTTAATTATTATCGGTATCTGATAATGGTTTGCACCGTTTTTGAAGTGGTTTCAAATCACCTTCATCATCAGAAGAAACTGTCTCTGCAATAGATATTTGCGGTAAAGGCCACGGATTTTCACAAACTTCATTCTCGTTCTGTATAGCTCTTCCTTTTCTGACAATGTAATCAGTAATTAAACTTTGCGATGAGGATTCTTTTATTTTTTTATATAGTTCACGATATCCAGACATGCAGTTCTACAGCTCACGTTGTAATTTAGAGGTTCGTTCAGAATTGGGGTCATTAATAAGAAAATGGTTTTCTAATTTACTGCAAAGTTGAAGACCTTCTTGAATTAATTTTCCAGTGGGGGAAGTTGATTTTTCTTCCTCATCATTATCACCTTCTAGACCTACGACGCCGTCTACAGTTAGATCTAAAGTTAAATCACAATAATATCATTGTCACTTAATGCATCATCCACAAGCAATTCATCAATATCATCGTGGCTGAAGGTATTAAAACCATATCCTCCAATTTCATGTGCCAAATTATTTCATCTGATAGTGTCGATGTTTGAGTGGTTGTATTGTCTGTCACACTTGCTGGCCAAATCTTTTTCCAACAGGCATTTAAAGTTCTAGGTCTTATTTGAGCGGGAAGCAGATGCAACATGAATTAAACAATCAAAAATAGAAAATTATTTCCACACATCTTTTACTGTTAAGGACTCATTTTCTAGTTTACTCAAGATGAATTTGTACGTTGTCTTAATATAATATTTTTTAAAAGTTGCAATTCTGCCTTGGCTGAATAAGGCTTGCTGTATTGGGCGGAAGAAATACTAGTTGAACATTTGGATGTTTTAATTGTGGATGACTTGTTGCATTGTCAACAATTAATAAAACTTTAAAATCGAGATTTTTCCTTCATATAGGCTTCCACTTCTGGTACGAAACAATTATTGAACCATTCTGTAAAAATAGCTGTTGTCATCCAGGCTTTCGGGTTAGCCATCCAATGCTCGGGCAGTTGTTTTAAATCTTTACCTTTAAGGGCGCGTGGTCTAAGAAATTTATTTATTAAGAGAGGTTTCAACATCCGATCTCCTGATGCATTACTACAAAGTAATAAGGTGACTCGATCTTTACTTGCTTTATGTCCACTTGCAGTTTTTTCATCCTTGGCGATGTAAGTATGGTTAAGCAATTTTTTCCAATAAAGTCCTGTTTCATCAGCGTTAAATACTTGATCGGAAGAATAGTCCCCCTCTTCAATAATTTTCGCTAGCTCCTCTGGAAATATTTTTGCTGCTCCTTCATCTGCTGTCGCACTCTCCCTGTGTAACGTCGCTACTCCGAACAACAACAGTGGTCGGCGTCTTTGTTGGACCCGACACTCACACGTGCATCTTGCAGCTGCAGCGCAACCCCTTTTTGACCCCCGAGGAATCGAACCCCGTCAACCGGAAGATGAGATAGGAGAGATGCTTTGAACTTACACGGGAGCGGTAGCCAACGATTCCTCCTCTCACAAAATTATTGGACTCTAACAATCTTTAATTAAGTTAATCTCTTCAATGTATCATTCAGTAAATAATATTCAATAGTTGTGACGTAAATAAATTCCATATTTAAATTAACCAAGAATACGCTACCGTTATTCTTTCAAACGTTACACCTGTTATCTTAATATTATGAAGTGCGTTTCTTTTTAAGAACCCGGTTAGCCATCCTTTGCTAGCTGAAAATTCTTTTCCAGCTTGGGAAGCGGAAGTCGATGGTTCTGACTGTTTCATTGACTTATAAAACTGAAGAGCTTTTTCTTGGATTAAATAACCACTTACCGGAATCCTTCTTTGAACTTGTTCCTTAATCCAAATTGCGATGGCTCTTTCCGTTCTTTCTAATAATACATCTCTTGTGTACGATGCAGATTTGGTGCTTAATTTTGTACCAGAAATGACCGATTTTCTTATTGCAGCTTCATTCTTTTTAATTGCTCTGACAGTAGATTCGCCTAAATTAAAATGTTTCCAATAGCCGTAGATCCTTCTCCTTTTCCTAAGCGATCTAAAATTGCAATTTTCGTTTCCAACGAAATTGATTGTCTTTGATGTTTTTTTTCCTCCATTGGGCCAAATAAAATCTTAGAAAAGAAATTGAAAAAAATTACACTTACGATTTTCTAATGAAAAATAAAACTTAACGACACTCACTTTAAATCCAGAAATCAAAATTTGCTGCTTATTATATTGCAACTTAAATTCGCCACTTATTAAAGTGAAACTTTTATAAAAATGAACGAGACACCGCTAAGAGAAAATATAATTTCGAAATAATGATATCGTATCGATATACTACTGAAATACAACTGAAATAACGAATGCAAATCTAAGACTGTCGCAGCCGAGCTGCAGACGTTAGCACCCCAAAAAGATACGGAAATTCTCGGAATACTACGATCTACGTCTCAGTATAAAAAATAATAATAATAACAAAAATCTAGAAATGTTTGGAATACAAACCGCAAATGTTTGAAATACAAACCACACAACTTCAAAATCGCATAAAAACAATCCGCATAAAAAGAGATCCACTTAAGTTCAAACACATTTTTTAAACTTAAAGTGGATGACACTTGATGTTAATACAGTTTTTTCAAATATTAACTCATTAATGAAATATAATTAGGGAATAAATAACAACAGACAAAAATAATAGTACAACACCATACATAAAAACGAAAATTGCTCGTTGTGTGCCTGTAGTGCAATGGATTGCACGTTGGACATCTAATCCAAAGGTCGTGGCTTCGAATCCCACCTGGGATAGCCTGATTTCTGAGAATGTGATTTCTTTTTACTATACTGTTTTATTGGAATAATTAAATTTAATGAATGAATAAATGGTAACAAAAAAACAAAAATAATAGTTCAACACCATGCATAGAAAGAAAAATGGAAAATTGCAAAGAAAGTTGCTTTCTATTTTGCCACTTAATAGTGTGATTCTGTTACATGAATATACATATTTATATTAATTGTAATTATTTAATAAAAAGTACGTAAAATAAAATTTTTCTTTGTTGACCTAAGTAGGAATTGACTTAAAATTTATTTTTTTTAATATTATATCTTTATTTATATGCATAATAGTATTCGAAAAAAAAATATATAAATCCTTTGTTCATGAACCTTTTTTAATTTATGAAATAATTACTACCCATTCCAAATGTTAAAAGTTCTTTTTTTTTACTGCGGGGGAAAACGAGGTAAAAAAACTGATGTTTTATTTTCATTCACAGTCTTTCGAGGAAAGATTGGTAAAGAAGTAGAACATAATGAAAAAAAAAAAGTATTTTACATTGCCCTCTTCACCCAACGTATCTTCTCCGGTAAACTTATTTTTTACGCACAAATTTCCCTCGTCTTCATCTTTTTTTCCCTCTTTCTCCCTACATTTATCTTTCAAGACTCACGTCTACTTTTTTTATTCATTATTTTCATCAACATCCATGAAAAAATTTATCCAGCATCGAAGAAACCACCGGGGTAAAAATAAAACAAAAAAAATCCCTTTTTTTTACCTTATTGATTTTTTTCCCTGTTACTTCCCCATTCCTTATCTAAAGTCAAACGACTGAAAGATACACACGCGGTAAAAAAAATACGTGTGTCATCCTCCATTTATTCGCTTTAAAATCCTCCCCGTCTGGTACAGGATAAGAAGGCAGTGACTACCACCCCTCCCCCTAGTTTTCTAAAAATCCAGTGACGTCAGAAGGAGTTAGGACAACAGAACCATCGGAAAAGGCGTTACGGATGAGAAAATATCCTTAAGGATGCTTTTAGGCGCTCTCGACTGTCACCTTCAATGAGAGAAGAACCTTCCATGTTGTCTTCTGCAGCAATATCGTCTGCGATTCTATATCGTCTGCCCATCCCTGCTCACTCCATCTGTTCCTCTCCACCCACTCCTGGAGCTGTTTTTCTCCATTTGCATACCGAGCATGAGATCTCAGGGAAGCAAAATGGGGTTCAAGGTGGAGTCGGAGTAAGAGGCTCTGGAATTTTTTTTTCTGGAGTTCAAAAATTTGAAAGAGAGTGAGTATTGAATCGATGAAATAGAGTTTAAAGAAAATTGAGAGAAAAAAAATGAGAGGAGCAATGTAGATTTTTCCGTTAAAACTGAAATTGCTCAGTAGCGATCAAAGGAAAACTAGGCTCCCACTCAATAAAAGGCTGATAATATATTTGAACGAATGAATTTAAATAAAAAATGTTTTAATATTTATCCATGATTTCTCCTCAACAGAAAAGAAGCAGTTTAAAAACAAAAATAATTTTTCTTTATAGCGATGAATTTCATCTATTACTGTAAACATTTTACCGTTAAAAGTTTAAGTATAAATATTGTTAAAAAAAAAAACACACACACACACACATATATATATATATATATATATATATATATATATATATATATATATATATATATATATTTAATTTAGTTTGTAGTTCGCATATATTTGGTATTAAAATTTCAAAATAATTTGTTCCAAATAAGTTTTTAGAAAAGAACATTACTTAAAAAAAAGCAATTACTCGTATAAACTCGATGTATTCGTGCTTTTCTGTTAAACAGTATTAATATTGTAATTTTCAATATCTTTAAATATATTTCTGAAGTGTATTCACCAAATCTGCAATAAACAATTAAATGACACCTTTTTGGTTAGCCGGGTGGACGCGATAAACTGGCAAAGGTTGCTATCAGTATTAGACAAAATATTACCAACTGCAGCCATTTCTCGTTATCTTTATGTGACACACACATTTAGTATTATTTCAGTAATATAATTTTACGTAGTTTTTTTGTGTGTCGCTGTCAAGAACGTTCTTTTGTAGACTTTTGTGCCTGTATAGTCATTAGTAGATATAAAATGCCGGTTCTGGGACAAGTGGAGCGTGGAGCCTCCATAGACTTAACATGGGGCCGGTTCTGGGACAAGTGGAGCGTGGAGCGCGGCTGACGCCTGGGGGCAGAAGAGATAAGGAAAGGGTGACAATGGGGGGTCTCCTTACCTGAAAAACATCCTGCGCATGCATTATGAAAATTTGAAATGTTGGGAATTCATTGAATAGACTGTTTATTTTTCAATTAATAATTTTTAAAATAAGATTTCAATAATATTTTCTATTTTACTTTAGTGCAAACAATAATGACAAAAAATAAACATTTTTTTATGAGAAGATGAATCATTCCAATCCTTTCTCGTATTAGTAAGGGGTCTTCTCTATCAGTATGATTGGTTTGAGAACACGAATATGTTTTTAATGATAGGCGATTCGTATTTTTACTTAATGAAATGAATTAATTAGTTAAAATGAATATACTGTTCAACTTGATCGTAGGATTCGATGCAAATTTTAGTCTTGATGAAGGGAGACAAAACTTGTTTTGAAAAATAAAACTTAATGTCAGTCAGAGCTATTTTCGTTTCAATAAATGTTTTTCGTTACTTCAAAACTAATTTTTTTTTTAGAAAAAGTACATTTATGAGTGGAGCCATCTATGATTGATTTTAATTTCTATGTGTAAAATTACACTTATTTTTAAGTTGAGTTTCGAACCCCAAAAGTCTTCGTTGATGAATGTTAGAAGGTACGATCCTAACAACTCACCTACGAAAACCTGTTACCATACATTTAGTTTACTCACATATTATCAAACTTTAAGCGAAAATACTTAGAATAAAGTTGAATTGTAAGATTCCTATGGCTAAAAATTTAATATCCTTCTAAACTATTTAAAGCTATGAATTTCTTCATTTTATACGTCATGTAATAATTTCGAGGATATATATAAAATACATGTTTTTACTTGCCAAGGTCATGATAGAATTATCCAGAAGGGGTAATCTATCTTATCTTAGAGGGAAAGGAATGTGTAAACAACCTTTGAACATGTTGGTACATGGATAACATGACCAAATAACAGACAATGTAACACTACGCACGCGTAAGAATACATTATTCTATTCCACCAATAAGCTTCTTTAAGTTTTATGATAATATTCTTACAAACCAATCACAGTTCAACATGAGAGTAAAGTTCTAATCACATGGATTTGGAATATATTTGGTTTAAAGACATTTCTAGCTCTTTCTCTCTCTCAGACTGTAGTTCAAATTTTATTATTGTTGTAATCAGAATTATACACGTGTAGAATTAGAAACATGAAGCGAACGTTTAATTCCAATAATGGTTCTAATAAGCGAGTATGTTTTAGTGAAGATACCAAGTCAGATTATTCTTTCTCTGACGATACTATTCCTCCACATCATTTCCACTTAGGACAGGACGTTTACGCTGCAGTGACATATTTTGCTAGCATGGTACAAGTTCATCTACGTCTCTATAAAAGAGATGGGAATAATCGACTGTTTCCAACTAAAAGAGGTGTGTGTTTCTCGCCTATGCTGTGGCAATCATTTGTTAATCAAATCGAGCAAATCAATACATCATCTTCTGTTGAAGAAACTATCCTCATAAAAGACTCTTTGATGATATCGACCGTTTTTATTGAGAACATTCCAAATATCATCTTCCAGCGCTATTTCCAGAAAAAGATTATTCAAAAAGTTTGTACCGGGGACGTGTGTTCTAAGCGAAAATAACTGGTTGGAATTACAACGAATTCATAAGATCATCACAGAAAGTGTCATGTGGTTAACATTTGACCGTATGCTTCGCAATTTGTTACTGAGTGAAGCCTCGAAAATTATGCCAAGTGCTGTAGTGAATACAGACGCTTCAGAAGTTGAATTGGTGTTGACAACTTCATTGATTGAACTTTTGTGTGATTACTTGGGAAACTCCATCGCAGATGTGTTCGAATGCTACGGGTGTGTTCAACAATATGGTAATCAACTTGGACATGAATGTATAACAATGGATTATGAAACCCGTATACGACTTTATGGCGGTTTAGCTTTGTTCACTATTGATTTCGAGCAACTTATCAAGGATTTTATCCAACGAAATATTCAATTGTTAAATTATCTAAATCCAATATTTGTAAATAAGTGGGATATGCTTTCTATTTTTGATAACGCTAAGAAAATGTATATTGCATCTGATCCTAATCGTTAGTATTAAATAAAAAATATTTATTTGTATATGTCTCTGTTATTGTTATTTACTCTTTACTTCGTATTTATATGTGAGTATGTGTTTCCTCTTTATTATATACTATTTAAACTCTTTTTAGAAGAGTTGTTGTTCTTATAAATTGAATGCTATAAATACTTCGTTTAGTTTGCTATTACATTATTCATTCATGTGATGTTAGTCAAATAACACACATTTTTTTTAAAGCTAAGAATGGATCTTGAAAAAGTTTATCAAGAGCCTGAACATCCGGGTAGCTTTGGTGGTGTCGAAGCTTTATTTAAAGCTACGGGTGGAAAATTTTCTAGAAAAGATATTAAAAAGTGGTTAAGTGCAAAAGATTCATATACTTTACATAAACCTATTAAAAAGAAATTTAAGAAAAATAGAGTGTTGGTAAGTCGAATGAATCAACAATATCAAGCCGATTTAGTCGATATGCAGTCTCTTTCTAAGTTTAACGACGGGTATAGATATTTACTTACTTGCATATGTGTTTTATCGAAGTATGCTTGGGCTATTCCATTACATGATAAGAATGCGAAAACAGTAGTATCGGCTTTTGAACAAATATTTTCTGAGCGCGTCCCTCTTAAACTTCAAACTGACGCTGGTAAAGAATTTACGAACAAACTTTTTCAGAATTATCTCAAAAAGA